AGAGCATCCCAGTCTCCTGGGGAAAATGGGAAGGGGGAGGGCTGCAGAGCCCAGGGGGGGTGGCAGGGTGCCCAAGGTGGGCATGGCAGGGTGCTGGGAGGATGCCAGGGTGCCCAAGGGGTGGATGTCAGGATGCTGGGGGGATGATTGGGTGATTGGGTGCCCGGGGAGGGGACAAGGGACAGCTTTGCAGGTCTTTGGATGCATGACAAGCAGGCTGCCAGCAGGGCAGGAGGGAGGAAGGTGCTGGGGATGGGGCTATTGAGACAGCGAGCGCTGCAGTGAGATGTCACCGCTTCCTCCCTGCCAGCGTTTCAAAAATGACAGAGGACCCCAGCGTCACCCCTGCCTGCACCCTGAGCTCCCAGCACCCAGCACCCAGCTCGGCGCCTGAGCATCTGCCCCTCCAAAATGTCACACCTTCCCTGCTGCCTGCGATGGCTCAAGATAAGCAGCTCCGGTGGCAGCACCTCACTAGCACACAGCCGGAGCTGAGACCTGACACGCTCGTGTTAGGGGTGACCTGCACAACTTCCCCGTGTCATTCCCCCCCCCCAAGCCTTTGACCCCTCCAGCTCCCGGGGATGTTGCTGCCATCCCAGCAGCAGCCTCCAGCATCGGTCCCCAACCCATCCATAGAGCTGGGATTCCTGGCAGCGTGGGGTGACGGTGACATCCCTGTCCCCAGGGGTTGGGACACGGGATCCCCAAAACCCCCCCGTGCTCCCCCTTAACCTGCGGTTGCTCCTGGGTGGGGGGGCAGCCCTGGCAGAGGGTGCTTTTCGGAAACACCTCCCAGCCCTTCCTGGCCCTTTCTCGCTTCGTTTGAGTTGGGTTTTCCTGGAAGGGACCAAGAGCTAAAAATAACCCCGGGGCGTTGATGAGAAGTGGCTTTGGGACTGGCCACCCAGCGAGGAGAGTGGGGGATGCTGAGGTGCACCGAGTGCATCAGGTCTCTGCAGCAACACATGGGGATGCTCCAGGGACAAGCCTTTGCCCATGTGCCCCAGGCTCTCAGGGACCTGCAGTGATAAGGATAGAGCCACCCCAGCCCCTGGCCCTGAGCTGTCCCTGTGAGGGGGGGCTGGTGTGGGGCATCTCCCCATGGGTGGGGTTTGAGCCTTTCAGGTCTCAAAGTAGCTGAAAGCTCCTGGGCATGAGGCCTGTTTTATGGGTAGGGAAACTGAGGCACAGCAGGAGCAAGAACACGAGAAGGGTCTGTCTGAGCTGACCCAGACCCACATCCCCCCCCCCCTCCCCGGGGCTGTGTTTTGGGTGGGAGGGTTGATCCCCTGTGCCCATTTTGCACCCATGGGCACACAGGCAGAGCTCCCCCCCCTCCTCCAGGTGAACACTGGGGGCTTCCACCCTGTCCCCATGGGTGACAGGCACCTGGAGGGTGCTACTCCGGCCACAGCTGCAATGAGTTTCCAGGTCTCAGCAATGGGGAAGGGGCTGAGGGCAGGGCAGGGTTGGCCACAGCTGCTGGTGTTTGGAGGTGATGGGCTGTGGACGTGCCAGCTTGCTTGGGAGGGAGTGTGTGGGTGTCTGTCTGTCTGTCTGTCCATCCATCTGTCCATCAATCCCACCCTGAGAAGGAGAAAACTCTCTTTGCCAGACCCCTGGAAGAAGATGCAGGTGAGGCTGATGTTTTGGGAGGTGAGATTCAACTGTAGGAGGAATCTATCTGTCTGTCCATCATTCCCACCCTGTGAAGGAGAAAACCCTCTTTGCCAGACCCCTGGCCAGAGGAAGAAGATGCTGGGGAGGCTCATATTTTGGGAGGTGAGATTCAACTGTAGGAGGAGAGGCTCTGCCTCCTCTACCCAGTATCCTGGTGTGTCTCCCCCACTCTGGGTGCCCCAGAAATTTTCTCCCCCACTGCCTGGCTTTACTGGGGAGCAAGGCATGAACTGGGGTGGAGGGATTTAGGGGGCGAGGGAAGGCTTGTGAGATTCTGGTCTGCTGGAGGCCGCTGCCTCAGAGGAATATCTCTTCCAGCTATTGATTTCCCTTTATCAGGGAGCAGGAATATGTATGGGGCTGAAATCCTGATCAATCCCCGCTCTGCAGCCGATCGATCAGCTGCTGCCCAAGGGCTTTTATCGAAGGGGGTTGGGGGTGCAAACAGGAGCTGCTGAATTTGGGAATGACCCGTTGCTCTAAGCCAGAGCTCTTCCCACCTTTACCCTCTCTTGACTTATCCAAAAGGCAGTGAAGTCCCAGGGAAACCTGGCACCAGGCAGCATCCCGGAGGGTCCCCCCACAGGTGTGCTCCTTGCCCTTCCTTAGTCAAGTGCCCATGCCTGGGGGACCCCCATTTCTGATGGCAGCAGGATGATCATGGTCCATCCCCATTGTGGGAACACCAGAGCCCCAAACCCAGAGGTGTGGGGCACCCAGTGACACCCCAGAGCTGGGAAGCTGTCCCAGAGGAGCATTTTTGGGGTGTTGGGAAGAGGGTGCCTGGTTTTAGGGCACCTTTGGGGACCACACCTGTGTCTCCAGTAGGTTGATGCATCTCCAACCCTGTGTCCCCAGTGCTTGGAGCATCCCTCAATCCCGGCCGGACTCATGGGATGAGGGGAGGGTGAGGGGGGCCGGCGAAGGGGAGGAGCAGCACCGTGGCCTCCATTATTGATTGCTTGGTAGCCAAAGGTCAGCGGCAAGCGTGCAAGGGTGGGGAGGAGGGAGGCGGGTGGATGCGAGGGGCTCACTGCCAGGACCCAGGTTGTGCCAGGGTGAGGGGGCAAGTGCCAGCCTCGGGGGGTGTGGGTCCCCATTACACGGGCACCCCCCGGCAGTCACAGTGGCCAAGTCAGCCCGTCGTGCCTCAGTTTCTCCCCCAGCAGATGTGGGGGGTGAGGTGGTGTGGTGGGCAGCAGCACCCTGAGCTGGGTGGGTGGGGAAGGAGGCACTGGGGGCTGCAGAGAAGGGTCTGTGCCTACGGGGGGGGGGAGGTGGGGGTGCTCTCAGTGGGGTTGGGAGGAGGTTTGTGCGCAGGCAGGAGGGTTGTGCCTGTGGGATGGGCAGGGAGGGGGCTGAGTTTTCCCTGGTAGGGGTTCAGAGGCTGTTTTTGAGCTGGTCTGTGCCTTCCTGATGGGTGGGTGGTGATGGTGATTGTGCTGGGAGGTGGCACTGGAGCCACAACCCAAATAATACCATTTCCCAAGACCCTTCACATCCCCAGGACCAGCCCCCTCAAAGTAGCTGAAAGCTCCTGGGTAGGGAAACTGAGGCACAGCAGGAGCAAGAACACGAGGGAGGACACCAGTCCCCATCTCTGCCAAAGCTTTGACCCGTGTGCCCAAAGCTTTGCACACCCCTGGAGCCTCATCCTGCTGTGCTCAGGACCTGCCCGGAGCCAGGCAGCCCCGTGCCGGGGTCTGTGACGCTGGACCACGGCATCGCCCGCCCTCGCCCCGGCCATGCCGCGAGGGGGAAGATTTACAGGCTGTCAGAGGCAGGGCCAGAGGTCAGCAGGGGTCAGAAAGTCCATTTCGGAGAGGTCACTGTCCACTTCTTTCAATCTAATGAAGCCATTATTTGTGAAAGCGGCCGCTTTGCCGGCTATTCCCTTGAAGCCGAGCAGGGCACAGCCACTGGCTCTGAAAGGACAGGAAGGAGTCCCCTTCCCTTTTGCATTTGCCATTCAACAGGCCCCCAAAAAAACAAATACACCACACACAAGAAATATGATGCGGGGCTGTCGCCGCTGCGGGGCTGGGAGAGATGAGGTTGAGACGTAAAAGGAAGCTGCCTGGAAGGACCGTGCTCACGGCGAAGGGGAGGAGCAGCACCGTGGCCTCCATTATTGATTGCTTGGTAGCCAAAGGTCAGCGGCAAGCGTGCAAGGATGGGGAGGAGGGAGGCGGGTGGATGCGAGGGGCTCACTGCCAGGACCCAGGTTGTGCCAGGGTGAGGGGGCAAGTGCCAGCCTCGGGGGGTGTGGGTCCCCATTACACGGGCACCCCCCGGCAGTCACAGTGGCCAAGTCACCCCGTCGTGCCTCAGTTTCTCCCCCAGCAGATGGGGGGGGGATGAGGTGGTGTGGTGGGCAGCAGCACCCTGAGCTGGGTGGGTGGGGAAGGAGGCACTGGGGGCTGCAGAGAAGGGTCTGTGCCTACGGGGGGGGGGAGGTGGGGGTGCTCTCAGTGGGGTTGGGAGGAGGTTTGTGCGCAGGCAGGAGGGTTGTGCCTGTGGGATGGGCAGGGAGGGGGCTGAGTTTTCCCTGGTAGGGGTTCAGAGGCTGTTTTTGAGCTGGTCTGTGCCTTCCTGATGGGTGGGTGGTGATGGTGATTGTGCTGGGAGGTGGCACTGGAGCCACAACCCAAATAATACCATTTCCCAAGACCCTTCACATCCCCAGGACCAGCCCCCTCAAAGTAGCTGAAAGCTCCTGGGTAGGGAAACTGAGGCACAGCAGGAGCAAGAACACGAGGGAGGACACCAGTCCCCATCTCTGCCAAAGCTTTGACCCGTGTGCCCAAAGCTTTGCACACCCCTGGAGCCTCATCCTGCTGTGCTCAGGACCTGCCCGGAGCCAGGCAGCCCCGTGCCGGGGTCTGTGACGCTGGACCACGGCATCGCCCGCCCTCGCCCCGGCCATGCCGCGAGGGGGAAGATTTACAGGCTGTCAGAGGCAGGGCCAGAGGTCAGCAGGGGTCAGAAAGTCCATTTCGGAGAGGTCACTGTCCACTTCTTTCAATCTAATGAAGCCATTATTTGTGAAAGCGGCCGCTTTGCCGGCTATTCCCTTGAAGCCGAGCAGGGCACAGCCACTGGCTCTGAAAGGACAGGAAGGAGTCCCCTTCCCTTTTGCATTTGCCATTCAACAGGCCCCCAAAAAAACAAATACACCACACACAAGAAATATGATGCGGGGCTGTCGCCGCTGCGGGGCCGGGTGAGATGAGGTTGAGACGTAAAAGGAAGCTGCCTGGAAGGACCGTGCTCGGGGATGTGGCTGCGTCACTTGGGTGGAAAATCATCAAGGATGGGCAGAAATTGGGGGGATGCTGAGAAACTTGCTGCTGAGTTTAAAGAGAGTTACAGGAAAGCGTCTCTGGGGGATGCTTGTCCCTCCCCTCAATCAGGAAGGGGCTGGGGGGGAGGAACCTGATACACAGTGATGGATTATTTTCTGAAGGTTTTGTTTTGGAGAAAGCAAGGGCTGGTTCCTCACCACGTCTTTCCCCCATGCCCCCAAACCTCTGGCCACCTCCCACCCTGCTGTAGGGTGTCCTGTCTGCCCTGGGACACCATCCCCAAGCTGTGTGGGCACTGGCATCAGGGTGTCCCCTCTCCTCAGAAGGGAGAGAGATGTTTCTGAGGACTGCTCTGCAAACTTTGGCCCTGGCACTGCCCAGAGGAGCTTGTTCAGGTGCCCCTTATCCCCCAGGAATGGGCTGGGGTTGCTCGTGTGCTTTTTTTTTTGCAAAAGTACAGGAGTGACAGCCAGCTGTGCCTTTCCCAAATCCCAGACAAAAGGGAGGAACCGGGAAGAAGCAGTTCTGGAAGGAGGAATGAGTGGAGAGAAATGGAGCCGCATGGAGGGGTCTCCCGCAAGCTTTGGGTTTTTTCTCCCCCTTCTCTGCTCTCCCTCCAGTTATCCCGCAAAGAAGAGGAGAAGGAGAATAAACGCAACCCACGGACCCGGCCCCCGCTGGCCAGGAGATGGTGCCAGATGCTCCCGCAGCCGCCGGGACGGTCCCGCAGCGTGTCCCCCCCCGGGATTGCCGTGGGTGCCGGCAGGGAGAGAGGGAGCGTGGAGGAAGGCGAGGAAATGCGAACACACACACACACACACATCCCGTGGTTTCCCTCTTGCCAAGACTGTCCCCAGCCCGGGGTCCCCCTCCGCCAGCCCAGTCCCCGGACTGGGAGCTCTGGAGGCTGCTGGAACCTGGTCGCGAGTGGGCGTGGGGATCCCGGTCGGTGCCCGGGGAAGCACCCGGCTGGTCTCTGCTCTCCTGGTGTGGCAGAAGAAGGGCTAGTCCTTTGCTCTGGAGACTTGTCTCAAGGTTGATGTGAACAAGAGACTGGAGGAGTTTCCTCCCCCCGCCCTGTCCGTCCCCGTTAAACCAGCATAAAAACGAGGTGACACCCTATGGGCGTCATGGAGTTATTAACGCTGCTGCGTGGAGGGCACCTCCTGCTCCACCCGTGCCCCGTGGGACCCCCCTTCACCTACACGGCAGAGCTCTGAAGGGTCTGGGGGGGGAGGGGGGGGCAGGCTCGGGGGCGGCCTCACCCATCTCTCTGCCCTCGGGGTGACAAAGCAGAGAAAAACCATCATCTTCCTCCTCCTCCTCTTCTTCCACCACCACCCCAGCCCCGCGGGTGGGAGTCCGGCGGGGGCTGCTCGGCTCCGCGGGCGAGGGGCAACGCGGAGCCCCCGGGTGGGGGTAGACTGGGTGGAAGGTGTGCGGGGCGAGAGGAGGAGGAGGAAGGGCAGGAGGAGGAGGAAGGCAGCCTCCCAGGACCCTGGACAGCGCCGTCGCCCTTCAGCACCCTGGACAGCGGCGGCGCCTTCGCGCGGGGCTTCCCCACGCGGGGTTTTACCGGTAGCACCGGGACGTGCCCGGGGGGGGGCGGATTGTTTGTGTGTCTCCCCCTCACCCCATGGGTGACTCCGCCATCCCCGTCATGCCCCGCCACCTCAGGGTGCCCCCCTCGATGGTACCACGCAGGGCGAGTCCTGCGTGGGGCGGCTGCCATCAGTTC